TCAACTCAACAGCTGACTTACTAGCTTCTATTCTTTTTCACTAGTTACATCGTTGACTGCTGAGGAGTCAAAGGCGATGACCAAGAATCAGACATGGTTCAAGCAGGCCATCCACATTTGAAGTCAAAGATCTGTACCTGAGTGTACAACAGCAAGAGTCATGAGCTTCCAACTGAAAGCTAAAAACACAACAAAGGTTGGAGGTCAGAGTTGAGATTATTTGCCACACACACAGTTCCCAAGGACAGCAACGGACTTTCACACTCACTGCAATGTGAAGTTGAGATTATTTGCCACACACAGTTCCCAAGGACAGGAACGGACTTTCACACTCACTGCAATGTGTCTTTTATGGTTCGTCAAACAAATATAAGCTGTGGGCAACCACTTAAAGCAAAACAATTTAATGTTAACTTGAGTTCTGACTCATAAAACCCAAGGACATTTGAGGATATTCCGACTCAAAGTTGATTAAAAAGTAAGAGGATACACTGAAAAGTTGAAAAACCAGTAAAGTACTAGTTTGATAAGAGAAAAGACAAAAGTCTGGTTGTGTGATTCGTCCTCCTTGATTCAGAACAGCATCTCTTCATATTTTTGTGCCAACATTGTAACTAGTGATAAGTTTAATATTTCAACATTAACTGCTGCCTGAATACTAGTGAAATTACATTTATTGAAAACACAGGATCCTGGCTAACAATAGCTTGACTTAGCTTGAAAGTCAATAAGCCTATGTTCACGTTACAGGCCTTAAGGCTCACTTCTGATCTGTTTGTCAGATCCGATTTGTTTGTGTTGATGGCTCACATTCATGTTTGTAAGTGACACGTATCCAGTTCCAACCTGAATATCTCTAGCATTCTAAACTGTCATGCATGTATAGATTTAACTAAATGTGAGTTGCATGCATGCAAGAATAACAGTAACATCATTTGTGTGACAGTCAAACCACACAGTTTCTTCAAAAGCTGCTGCTTCTCTATAAAATGTTCAACAAATGTGAAACATCCTCATTTCTCCACTGACCCCGGTTTCTGTTGTTGCTCTCCTCTATGTTTATGTTTACCAGTTTGTGAGGTGCTGACGCTGAATGATGATGACAGGTAGGGTCAGCAAGGGAATGAGACGCTGAAAAAAACTGTTCTGACAGCAGTCACATGGTCAGAGGTCGAATCTTAGGATCACATATGGAAATGTCCCCGATTCAGTTCAGAAAAATCTGGTTTGTTCACACATCTGTCAAAAGATAAAATCTGAGTAGTAAAAGACTATTTGCCTCCAAATCCAATGAGGAAAAACCACAGTGCAGCTGTAAACAATCAGATAGCTCTTTACATCTATGTGCTTTTCACAGAAAGTTAGTACTGTACGACAAGATACCGGGTTGAGTGATCTCTAACCACAGTGGTGCTGAAATCTGAAAAGGAAAATGGAATAGAAAAATCTCTGAGGACTTTGTATAGGAACAAATCAATCATAACTAAATTCAATTTCAGAGTATATTTTACAGAGATGGGGAATGACTTGAGGGATGACTGTGTCAGACTGACTAATGAAGCAAAGCTAACTAGTAATTCATTATAAGCATTAGGCAAGAGATACCAAGTGACCTTTAAACTCCCCTATCAGACCCTCACAGCTGAGAGAGGAAAATGAAGGAGAGAGGCAGACAGATGGATAGAAACCAGGTCTGTGAACCAAAGAATAAACAAAAGAATCTGAAGACCCAGGGTCAGGAGGGAGAAAATGCAGCCAGGAAGGCAAATTAAAGTAAAGGAAATGGAAAGTGAAAGGGCAGAATGAGGAAAACAGGGTAAGTGTGAGAGAGAATAATTTATCGTGAGGGAGCAAAAGAAAGAGGCACCACAGCAGGAAGAGGAAGAGATGGAAGAAGGCCAGGAGGTTGTAATGCAGCAAAGAAGAATTCTGAGACTTCAGGGGAGTTATAGTTCCAACCTGCTGGTTATTTGCCCTAAGATCCACTTATTCATAAGTGACTGGGATTATGCCCTTTATTTAACACATACCGGCCAGCACCTTAAAAGCCTAAAAACCTCTCTGGACACACCCTTGGTGGTAGTATTACACACTCACTCATGCTGTTATATCAAATGATACTGCAAGACAAGGCCATTAAATTAAGCTTGTGTGCAACCTCTGATCCAAACACAAGGCTCTGTACTGTAATGTCACACTTTAATAAAGACTGGTGTTTTATTGTGTGTGTGAGTGTGGGTAGCTGTGGGCTTTGTGGATGTATAACTTTGTCCTTGTCCATGCAGCTCCATCCTCCACACACAGGACGTCCTTAAGCCCCTTGGTGCCTTTCTCAAGGTCATCCATCATTTTCAAGCACACACGTACACACTTGGGCACACACTAAGATCAAAAAACGCCTTCACCTTCCCAATCAAGCCCTCTCACTACACACTCCATAAAAAGTCATTTTCTCCTTTCACAGGTCTCTTCCAGCAGAAACACCACCCTCACATTCCTTCTGCTTTCGTTCTGCCATGTTTCTTCACTCCACTGAGGGCTTTAAAGGAAATTTCAGTTTCAGACAACCTGTCTTATTGGGCTGCTGACTTCCAAGTTCACCAAGAAGGAGGTCTCATCCAGTAATTGGGGCAGTTACTCCATCGCTAGCACTGCATCTGGCAGCATGAGTTGAGGAGCTGGGTATTGGTGAGGTGGTTTCTACGTCATGCTGTTTTCATAGGAATCATTCTTCAGCAGAAAGTAGGTCTAATGCAAGTGTAGACATTGTAATCTGTGGCACTGTTGATCACACAGAACCAAAACAGTCTGTTGTGGGTTCATAAAATAGCATCAATTAATTGAAACTAACAAGCTCTGTACAACTAAGTGAAACTTCAGAGTCGGACGACAAGCGACAGCAATTATTTGATCCATTGTTAATATGGAAACTTTGATTAGAGGAGCTTTAAATATGTGTTCAATTCAAAAACTGTTGTGTATCTGAGGCCAAAACCAGGCTTACTCTAATTTGTTGCAGAGCGTCATGTGACGCCGCACCACTCTGGTGCAAGTAAGAAGTAGAACATTAATGTGAGCTCATATCTATAAACTTGTGACTGTTTGACTGCTTGTGTCTCTGGCCCAGGTGAGTACAATGTTATTACAACTGACAGGAATAAAAGACAGATCCAACTTGTAATAAAACAGAACTTTTCTTTTTAAGAAGACAAAGCAGAGCTTTTTTATTAATAAATCAAGCACCCTCTGCTTCCATCTCTGTCTCTGCTGCGCTCTGTCTTTGTCTTCTTCACCCTCTTTCCCCCAGAAAAATGAAAAAAGACATCAGCAATCAGCACCTGTCCACACTGAGGCCAAACATTGTATCCATAGTCACCTATTTTTCTGTCACCCCCTAAACTCTTTCTCTCCTGTGTCTCCTTTGACTTCACACCTTCTTCCATTATCAATTCAATCTTCGTTTATTTATCTCACTGGTCCCATCTTCCCCCTTGTGTTCATTACGTCTTCTCTAATCTTATCTTTATCCTCAGCGATCCTACAGTGTCTTATTTCCAAAATCAGGCTTCATTTGTCTTTTCACGCTATTGTACAGGCTTGGCAGCACCAAGGTCGGTGATGCTTCAGGTGGCTGTCACACTGCTGTGCTAAAAGGGTTATACTGGTGATGAGGGTCTCTGCCAGTTTTTATGTAAATTTGTGTGTTTCTGTAGGAGTTTCACTGTTGAAGAAAAGAGGCAGTGGTAGCCAGTGTAAAAGGAAGGGTTCAGCTTTCTGGCAAAGGCTCAGACACTAACAGCAGGTTGGCCTATATGCGGGGAGTGATCTGCCCTACAGCTCTCCCTGGGTAGTTTTTTTTTTTTTTTAGGAAGATGAGACTGCAAACTGCGATAAAGTTAGAAACCCAAACAAGTTAATGAGACGCAGAAAATAATGAGCTGATTGCACGATTAGAGGCATAATTTTTTTTATACACTAAAATCCCCACACAGCTCTTTCACAGTTAAATATCTTTTCTGCATCTTTGCAAGCAGCAATAACATGAAGTGGCTGCTGCTGTCAGGTTTCACTGAGCTAACTCTTTGCTCATGTTCAGGCAACCATAAGAAAATAAAATCGCCTCTCATCCTTCACTTTGATTGTTGAAAAAAAGCAGACAGGAAAGTAGGCAGGCTTGCTGTCCAGAGGGGCAGAGTCAGGTAAAGGTAATTGCTTAGTGAGAGAATGAAACAGGAGATAGGATCAGGAGGAAACTGAGAGAGATGACAGCTTATAATTGGAAACGAAGAAAGGATGAAGATGGGAGAAAAAGAGCGGTGGTAGATAGAGAGAACGAGGGAGCACCTCATGCAAACCTGCTGTCATAAGACACATGCACCTTGCCACAATGGGACATAACACTTGGCCACACATGTCAAAGCCTCCTGCAGTGTAGCATGAGTAACCAGAGCTATACATGTCTCAGACCAGAGTGCAACACGTCCTGACATCAGCTGCTCCTCTGCAGCCACTCCAGTTATTCCTTCAGATTTTTTTATGTTGCACAATTTATGACTGGATGCTGTGTGTAGAACAAATAACTCATGTACAAAGTGACTGTACCGTAATGAGCAGTGTTACAGCCACAAAAACAAGTGCTGAGATGAATGCGATGTGATTGTTTAATTTGCCTGACGATGTGAAACATGACAAGGCTCCACCAGTGGAGGTTTATTTACATGCATCACTCTGACAGCTTATGAAAGCCATTATGAAATGCCTCCAGTGGTGTATAATAATGTAATGACAAGATGTAGGTGGTAAGAAAGCAGGACCAGGCACACACACATTATCTCTCCTCCTCATCCTCCCTCCTTTGCTGCAAGTATCTGAGGGCAAGTAGGAAGACAAGTCCGGCGGGTAGTCATCAAAGCTGAATATCTGCAAACACGCGCATGCAAAACACTGCCTGTGCTCTATTAGTAAAAACAAAGCAGCCACTGAGGACAAAATAGACATACCCAGGACTGAAGTGTGGCCCTTGATGCCTCCTCATCTGTCCAGCTGTGTGTGTATGCGATTCTGTTTTCCTCTCCTCTTGGCCCACAAGTTGCCGACAGCGTTCCACACGTGCCGGCCCTCCACTACTTAGGTCCCCCTCAGTCTGTCTCGCTCTCAGACTCTGGCATCAGCAGCTGTAACAAACCTGCCTCATCCCCCTTTCCTCTCTCCTTCTCCCTCCCTCCCTCCAGCAGGCTCGAGTGTACACACCTCCCTTGCTTCCTCGTTGATTATTGTCCCCCCCCAAAAAAGAAGAAGAAGAAAAGGAAAAGATCCAGTCATTCATAGGAGGTGAGGTCATGAGATGTTCCTGTCCTTTAGATAGTGCTCCTCAATGGGTCAGCATGCCCTCCATCTCCCCCCGGCACGGATCATGAGCGAGGAGAGGGAGGACGGGGAAGGAGTGTGCTGTTGCTGTAGCTGTTGCCTCTGCCTCCTTCAGTGTGAGCACCGCTCTCTCGTTTAGCATGCTTTTCATCTCTCCCTCCCTCTCTCTCCACTCTCTCACTCTTTATCTCTCACTGCCTCCCCCTCCCATCCCTGTCCTCAGTCACTGTCTATCTGCTGCTGCTCTGGCTGTTTGAATTCACAATTCAGTGTGCTGCTGGGTGCACGGCTTAGGGAGTCTATCTAAACAAACAGGCACGGAGAAAAATGAAGAGACTGAAGGCAGAGATTAGAAGACAGAAAAAGAGAAGAGAGGGAGGTAAATGCATTTGGAGACTGGAATCAAAGACTAATAATAATAACAGGTACTGTAGAGTTTGCCTCCATCACAGTGAAATAAAATATAAACAAATATGATTAAATCAAATACCATGTAATGTTAAATGAAAAAAATAAATAAATAAATAACAAATGCATTAACAGGCCAGAGCTTGGCATATGGTACTGTGAAAAATAAAATCCCTGTCATTCTTCCCACAAATACTGACAAGATCAGTATTTCCTCAGTTTTGAAAGAGGCTCCTACTCATCTGGATAAAAATGTGCTGTCCACTGCACAACAGATTTCATCCAAATTCTCAGAAGAACCTTCAGAGCGGTTGTTACTGTTGTTAAATGCTAAACCTTCTGGGATTTTCAAAGATTGCCAGGGATTTCATTTTCAAAAAAAAGAACTGCTTAATTTTGTTCATTGAATGATATGAAAGAAACTGCTATTAAGAAAGAAACAATATAACTTAAAAGGGTGATATTTTAAAATACTATCTTTGCTGAGATAAAGAGCCAGCTTGCCTGACTCCCTGACAATCACAGTGCTCCAACTACAAGGGCCTGAGCTCCTCTGGTTTTTAGCACTACTACAATTGAGCATGTCAAATATCCATGGCAGTCTCACAGGAGTCTTAAATGTGATTGTTAAAATGATAAAAATCCACTGTAAAACAGAAAGGCAACCAGAACAGGGGTGCTAATGTTTCTGTGGCATTCTGAACCAAATGGCACCAAACTGTTCCTGATATATCCTGTAGCATTATAACATACAAAAAGGGGATTTAGGTTCCAGAAATGACTCTTTGGGTATGTCATTCTTCCACTGGGGTTGTTCCCTTTAATCACCTCCCCCATTTTGCCTGAAGCTTGCAGAGAAAGGGAGATAGTATGAAAGAGAGAAAAGAGACATTTTTATTATTCAGTCTAGTTGCCTTGTCAGGGTACATCAGATCACAGGGTACTGAGGTTCAAATGCACACACACGCACACACACACACAGAAACACACTTCCCTAGCATGGCAGACTGCCCTGGGGTCAGTTTAACAGCTCGTTGTGGAAAAGAAAAAATCTGCACTGTGACCCTGAGGTCAGGGGTCTGGCACGTCATGATACCTAGTGAAAGCCAAGTCCAGCAAACACCTACCACTCTAACCTCTGAGCCAGTCTGACTCGGCCAGTCACACACAAATACCATATCACACATTTCCCCCTGCTAAAGCCTTATTACAGGTACATATTAATAAATAACATCATCCAAATTTCAGTAAATGCATCTACTTACTTCTAGTGGTATGAAATCATACATCTACTTTAAAATGTTACTTTCAGGGTTTGAGATATCGACCTGTGAAATGTTGTCTGCTGCAGTGTAGCTCACTTCTCTGCTGTATGTTCAGTATGTTCCACAAGCTCATATTATTGTCAGTATTTGTATAAATGCATTAAATCCTCCCACACAATTTCGCATGTATGCATTGTCGTTGTAGAGACAGAGACAAGTGTTGCTAATAACATTAACAACATCTGCTCTATTCACGTGTCTCAGGAAGTCCTGATAGTGCAACAATGAGCCAGGATGCATAATCCCAGGATCCTGAAAGTGAAGCAGCTATAAATGAAATACAACCCTCATTTGTTGTATTATTTAAACCTGTAAGTTTCCTGGGGTGACATTTCAAAAGGCGTATTGCAGTAGCTAAGACCAGTGTTGGGCATGCCACTTGAAATATATAGTCAGTCACTCATTATTTATTGCTCACTGAAAAGTTATTATTACTTAATTACTCAACAGCAGAACTAATTTGTTATGCGGTTACACTGCTTTCCATAACACAGCCCAGCTCCATCAAAAGTGCACATATGAGACATGTTTGCAGTTCAGCACATGCACCGTAGGACTGGAAAATGAGAAACACTAACTGTCCTGTCCTCACAGTGAGACACTGGGTTCAGACTCCCTGAACAAAACTCAGCTGTCTTCTGAATGTAAGCTACTGATTAATGTTAGCAAGTCTGCAAAGAAGACACAACATGTAAATAAAACAACACCCGGGCTTTTGCCTCTCCACGCCTCCAGCTTCTGTGCCAAAGCTAACACATTCACATTCTGTCCACTGAAAGCACTCATCCTGGTAAGTATAGCCCCCCTATACCCACTGTATAAGGGTAGGGCCCTGAGTTCAATTACCTCACAGTAACTATAACTGATAAATCTCAAGTCTGTAATAAACCTCTCTACGTTATATGCCCTTAGGTCCTATGAGTACTGTATACAATAACCAAACATGTTAGACTTAAAGATTCCCGATTTACTCAACACAAAATCAGGGTAAACCTTAAACAATGCCAATTCTCCTTTAAATATCTATGACCCTTTTTTTCTGTTAAACACAAGTTCCAATATTTCAAAATAAACACAAATATAGTGGGCCCACACACCACACACATTCACTCTCCACCAGCCACATATACACTGAGATTTAACCCCTGTTGCAGGCCTAATGGATGCTCGGGTGCAGTAAGGCCAAAAATTTAACAGCTGTTTCACTCAGCCAAATAAAAGACAGTACCTTACTTGGTAGTTCATAGTCCAGAGACTGAAGCGTTACCTGCTCCATGTGTCCACAAGAAATGGCAAAAGAGTCCCGATTGCCACCCAATGACAAAGTAGTCAGAGGCCCACAGGTCCAAGTGCAAGCAGTAGCGGGAAAGTCAGGAGTAGCGGGCTCTGTTGAACTATCCAACTGGTCACTCACATAGCACTGTCTCTGATAATGTCTATGAATGCCAGGCCAGAAAGGATGAATCCAGTCTTGGGTGTAAGCCAGGTTAGCTATACTACCACTACCAACATTCATTTAGCTAACGAATGCTAACAAGTTAATCAGTTATGCTATGAAGCTAGGCACAATAAGGCTACACAACTGAAAGGCAACTCCATGCAGAAGACCATCCAGTCATGTAATACAAACTATGTAGGACAAATATCTTATACCAGATCCTCAAGTTGACAATCTACGATACAGTGCACATGCTTAACATATTTCCTGTCTGCATAAAACCTTTTTCCATCTTTTCCTTCACCAAGTTATGCCCTTCCCCTGCTTCCTTTTTCTTCTTCTTCCCTTTCCCTGGGTATCACTACCTTTACCAATGGATGACCAGTAATGATATTTTACACACAACACTTCCTTGAACCTTCAAAATAACATGAAATAAATCACCATAAAGCTTTTAACCATACTTATCTTATAAATTTAACTTATTTATGGTAACCATTGTTCAAAAGCAAATGAACTTTCTAATGATATTTAACTATAATACATAGTATTTTTACCCAGGTTACATAAGACAACAAACAAAGCCAACCTCCTAAAGTGGCTCTGCTTGTTAGACGTCAGGGAGCAACTGCTGTGTAATTACTGAATTTGAGGTTGTCTTTAAACATGCAGTCCAACCCTGCTCCAGACTGATCAATGAGCAGGAGGTGTTTTTATCCAGTAAGGACCAGTTTATACTTGTGTTTACGCAGATAAAATTTGATATTTTGAATTATGAGTAGCAGGAATTAGTAAGTGATGTGAGTGTGTCCTATCTTACCAGTAAGATCAGTTTTGCCTTGCTGCCTTATGCTAAAGAACACTGAAACAATTCAAAGGCGCACAACCAGATTTCTGTCACTTACAGGTGTTTTACAACAAATCCATGGCAGCAGTGAGTGTTGGGACCCAGTCCGATCAGGGTTGCTCTTGTCAGATCACAGTGACACCACTGTGCTTTCAATGGGCAGTGCATACAGTATCTAACAGACTTGCTTGTGATTGCTAATGCTTCTGTTTAAGACCTGGAGAAGTTTCAAGGAAAAACTTTAAATGTTCTCACCCGCAGTTTTCTTTCTTTAAAAAATAAATAAATAAATTAGGTATTGGTTAAGTTTTTATGTGCAGCTGAAGACATAAATGGAGGACACCCTCTGAGAACCTGTAACATAATGTGCTGGAACATTTGTTATTCTAGCCATTTCTTATGTTTCTGATTTATTTGGACATTATTGATGGTATGCCATCTGCCTGAGCCACCAGAGGAGCAGGTGGTGTTTTTTCACTGCTGTGTACTTTATGAACAACATTTCCACTGCACAAATGATTAAATGTAGTGTCAGAGCTTAAGCAGAAATCCCACCTTTCTATAAGCGCACCTTTTGCTTCAAGGTCAAGAAATCATTTCTGCCGCTAAGCTCCACTGACAAGTATAGTATTTGTTTCATGGATTTACCTTGAACAATGGCAAAGACATCCTCGTGGGTGTACAGTGACTACACATTACACAAGACAGCTTCACAGCGGATGCAGAGCACAAAGATTATGGATGCAAACGTATGAATTTTATAGGAGTGGGTTGCACATGCATGGCAGCTGAGTGACAGTCTCCTTTCTCAAGGACCCAGTTTTGGGAGGACTTTCATTTACGCTGACATTTAGGACAGAATAGGATGACATTTAAGATATGAGTGTATGTGAGATATGGGTCAGACATAAATGTAACAGCTGCCTTGGATGGAGTATAGCAAGAACTAACTGGTATCTGTTTAAGTGAGCTGACAGTGGGAAAAACTGCTGAATCGTTGGATCAAAAATTCTTTCCTTGTCACTTTATATTTAAGTACCTCGCAATATGCAAATGTATTCCATAATAAGAGTAACTTCTCAGCAATGAAGCAGGAAATTTGATTCAAACATGCATACATTA